AAAACCAATTTCGAATGAAGTTACATGGGAAGACTTACACTATCCCAACTTTTAGTAAGCCTCCAGGGGTTAGTGAATCAGAGCAACGAACATCAGATATGCATAATGGTGAAGACTTAAAAAAAAATATGACGCACTTGAAAAGCGACTTATAAAGACTGAAGAATGGCTTGATATGGCTTTAAACATAATAGATTCTGACAAACAAATCGATTTCTTTCACAGATTAGAATTCCATTCCAAGATTCAAATCATATCAGATATGAAAAATCTAGAAAATAAAGCAACTATTAAAAAGGAATTTATTAGAGCTCTTGATTATGCAGAATATCTTAAAAAAGAATTGATACGATTTCAAGATTCAGCTTGAAGCTGTTTTTTATATTCTCGTAAATTTTCCATTCTAGCTTGCACATCACTCCCTGGTATTGATGAGATAGAATAATTTATAGTTTTTGATTCTGATCGATCTCCACCTTTAGATAATTCCACACCAGAGTTTGTCTTATCAATATTAGAACTAAGAAGTTCCTCATTTTGTGAGACTTTCTTTTTTCTGCTAGTCTTTTTTGTCGCTGGTTTGCTCAAAGAAATTACTTGCTCAGGATTTCTGGCACTTGATAAGCTATGTATGGGCAAGATTTCTGGTTGAGGTATTGAGATAGATGAATTCATAGATGTTATTTCTATTTCAGGTGGTTGAGGATATATCCGGCCATTTACAATATCATCATATCTTTCACTACCAATTTTATAATTAGCACACATAATGCGTTTTCTATTTGGTATCTGTTTTGCATGAGCATCCCTTATTTTTTTGATTGCTTCAGGAGTTAATGGAGTAGCAGTAGGGTTAAGATATTGTCGAACTCGAGATCTACCTTTGGTTTTAATCATTTTAGAAAAATATATAATAATATTAAAAAAATATCTGATTTAAATCTAGGAAAATATCCATTCATTTCTAGTATATAATTGGATAAAAACTGAGTAATAATCAGACAATAATCAGACACAAATCAGACAAAAACTGAGAAATAATTAGTACTGACTTGATTATAGATCTATTTTCATATAAAACTGGTTAATTATTATTTTATGCCTAGCTAAGTATCAATTTTTGCCCAGCTAATTACTAACTTTCGCCTAATTATTGCCTAGTTAAATACCAATTATTATCTGGGTTCCTTTTTATTCATAATCAGTAAAAAGTCAAATTGCGATTAGTTTTTTTTCTTTGAACATAATTCTCTTCGATTATATGGCACCAATACGTACTTTGTATAGTGAATCTACTGATGCCAAAAATTTTCAAGGACGTGGATATAAATTAGATAGTAGAGAACGTGAACTTGAATTTCAATGCAATGAGTTGCTTCTTGAAACCGAATTATTCGCTAATAAATGTTCCGAATTTAGAAATGCTAAAGCTCTTGCAGAAGCGCGATCTGATGTGATTACTAAAGAGCTAGAGAAAAAAAATGACAAGATTTTACATCTCCAGAAAAAATTAAATCGGTACATTAATGACAAAAATCAAAATGACTTGATTAAAAAACAACTCAAAGAAGAAATTAAAGAGTTGAAAAGCAAAAATACCAACCTTACTGAGTATAAAGCCAAGTATTATAGTAAGTTGGAAGAAGCGAATTCATTCCAATCTAGAATTAAATCATTGGAAGAAGAATTATCTTTAACTCAGAAATACTCATCAAAAAAAGATTCTGAGATAATCTCCCTCAAAGCTGAATTGGTGAATATAAAGATTGAATTAGATTCTAAGGTCAGTGAGCTTGAGCGTCTAAAATCAGAAGATATTTCGATATCTGTGGTTGGTGGAGATAGTGAAACTAGCAAAAATCTCAGTCAATATTTTGCATGCAGAAAAATTATGAACGAAGTCGAAAAAATTAGCACTGATATACTGACTCATACCAATGATAAAATTGTTCCAATATTAGAATCTTCAAAAATCGATACTGAGGTTACTTCTAAGGTAAGTGATGAAACTATTATTAACGAAAATAATAAAGATAATATATTACAACCAATCAATGCAGAAAACCAATTTCAAGAGATAAAGAATGTGACTCCGATTAGATCTCATAATATTACAATAGGAAGGAGTGAGGAATTACCTATTATAGCATTAGATGCTAGCACGATTAATAAATATCAAACTACTCCTATTAAGTTTGTTATTTTTGCCTTGATAATATTATTAATTATATGGTATATATACAGGCAAATTTTTCGCCCAACCCCGCCTTCTTGTTCTTTGAACTCGAAGCCAGATTTTACCCACAGTATGACCACCTCCGGTAATTTGTTTTCTGGAATATATAAACCGACCATGAACGAACAAAGTGAAGTGAATTATGGGGGGAAAGAAAATTTTTATCCAGTATATAGAAAACAGAGTTATGGATTCCCAATCCGCCATGCAAAAAAAATCAAAAATACCTCCTATGAAATTATTCCTTATGGATATAGATGAAGCTAATAAACATGAATCAATTCAAAATGTTTGACATCCAGCAATGTCATGGCCTTTCAGTAAAGTATTTACTGGTATGAGTGGTAAAGGTAAAACAAATATAGTTGGAAATCTTGTTCTGGGAGATAAAGCTGAAAATATATACAAAGGTAAAAAAGGAGGATCCTGATATATTAAGTGTGATGATTTGATAGTTTGTGAATTTCATCCAGATGAGCCAAAATGGGCATTTGTTAGATATATGTATGGAGTAATCGCAGGTAATCCTAAAGTACCTTACTATGAAAATATAAGATTCAAATATATCTCACCTGAAAAAATTCCTAGTGTAAAATCATTTTCTCCAGAGAGGAGTACTGTAATTATTTTTGAGGATTTATGTGTAGCCCCCGAGTCCATCCAAAACTGAATTATTCCATTCTTCACACATGGGTGTCATCGGAATATTAGTCCAATTTACATAACGCAAAAATATCATCATGTCCCGATAATTATTCGTGAAAATCTTACCCACTTAGTTATATTTAATGGGGGCAGTAGTTATCAGGATGTGTCCAAAATAATTGGACGATATACTGATGATGTTAAAAATGCATCAATGGTTATTAATAGTTACCTTCGAAAAAATGAATTTATTGTATTTGATCTTACTAGGTCAGAGGATGATCCATTAGCAATTCGTTTAAGATTCGATACTCCACTGGATTTGCAGAAAGAGATAGAGTTACGTCAAAAGCGTAAGATAGGTTCAAAGAACTATGATTCAGAGAAGAGGTAAAACCTCGAATTTTCAATTCATCGCCTAACAGCTCGCTCTGCAATAAAGAATGCATTACCTACTGAGCCTACTTCATAGATTTTTATTTCATATTAGCATTTTCCGTCACAAAAATTTCATAATATATTTCCTAATTGTGATCTCAAGAATAGCATTAGGAAAACGGTGGACAACTACCTATCTATGTCCTCAAAGGTATTAGTAGAGCTGGCACAGTCAAAAAATAATATATAAAAAGTATGGGTATTTTTTATCATGAAGCAATTAATAAATCGAATAAATACCTGTGTACTATGCTTCTATTTCTAAAAGTCGCTTTTGGAATCTAACCCGCAATTGACTCTTTTTAGAATCTATCCAATTATACGGAATATAATATTCTTCATATTGTCTAATAATAATGGAACTACGCATCATATAATCGTTTTTATATATTTCAATCCATTTAGTACGCCACTGATTAAATTGTTCTCGGGTTTGAGGATTTTTCACTTCATAGCTCGTTAAACCTAGAAACTTCTTATCTTCTGAAATATTATCATTCGGTAAACTCAACCAGGCAAGCTATGCATTTGATGGGTCCCTTTCTTTGAATCATCTCCAAGCATTTTGAATAATTCTTGCTAAACCATCTCTAGTTTTAGCTTTGCTACATGAATAATCCCAATGTTGCTTCATCAAATCTGCTGGTTCAAGTCTTTCAATATATCTATATATAGCACTAGCATATACCTTCTTTGGCTTCTCATTATTAACTTGAATCAATTTCCAACAATCGAGACAAATTGCCATATGAGTTTTATGAATTCTAGATCGGTAGTAATCATAATCTACAAATTTACCCTTACCAAATGCTAGAAATAGAGCATGTGCATGGTAAACGCTCCTCTTTCTCTCAGAGACTAGCTCTTGTAAAGGAATTCGAACTCTGAGTGCCCATTCTCTTGGAGTTTCATGTGGTCGAATAATTGATAAAGTATCATACTGTCTTTCAACCTCGAAGAGATCATCAAAGAATCGTTGATAATTATTAATGCTACAATAATTATAGATATATGACTCTACATACCTCATATTATATCCCGGTCTATTATTAATGAGCTTCATTGATTTAGCTTTTTTATCAATAATAGTGGGGATAACAAGACCTAACATATTTGATGATTTAACGTATTATACTGTTTAGACAGTTATAAATATTATATTAAGATTATTAGACCTATGAGATTTGGCACGATATATACAATTAAAACCAAATTTATTTTTGTGCATTCGAAATAACTTATATTAAAGATTCAATAATATATAAACTTCTCACCTGAAAAACGACACAAAAGCAACTAAAATGCTAACAAATCAAAAATAGTATATACCTAGTTCTACAGTTCTAGTTAAGCATAACTTTACTCATTGACGACGGTATAAGAACATTGGTAAGATATTGCAAAGCAATGAGACAAGTCTTCTAAATTTCGGGTATAAATTTTTCTGGTGGATACATTCAATCACTCTCTGTGGTGTGGTTCAGTTGTTTAGGAAGTCTGCGTCACCTTCCCTCTAATACACGCCCCACATTAAGGATGACGATCGCGCTCAGGATAAAGGAAAATGCTGTGTTTATGTAAGTTTCGAGGTGGATACATTCAAACTACAATGATAGCGACGATCACACCCTCTATAAGTGAAGAAAAAAAAATTAGGGAGGAAACAATCGAATCCTAAGCCTACCTCGAAAGGTTATGACTGCACCTGAGAAGACTATTCTATAAAGGATAACATATTTTTTGCGGAACAAACGATACTTTTACCAAAGTACTGAGCTACCAAACGGTAATTATGAGCATGTTCAATCTCACAACACACATAGTCAGAGGCCCTATCGCTCAATATTAAGAGACGAAATTTTTTGCTTGACTAAGCATACTCGTACAAATAGCTCTGGCAATCATCTTATCAACACAAAAACAACCTAATGTGAGAAGGTGGAATATCAGTAAAAAAAATCAAAAATTGAAAAATTTATATAAAAGGGATACTATTGTCTTATACATCACAAAACAATAATTAACCAGGGCGCATTGTTTATTAAATTCGGCACTACAATTATTGAACACGGGGTACGGTAATAATTTTACACGCTATATATCGATATTTAAGCCCGATTTACAAATTTAGAATAACCGTTATACACTAACAAAAATATCAAAGCATGTTGATCAAACATCTAGCATCGCATTTGTTACCTCGCCATTAAGAATAACCTCATGGCCGTCAAATCATGGGACTTTTCTCAGCACCGATCCATGCTGAAATAAATCGGATACACGAGAATTCATACATTTGTTCCAGAAAAAATAAAGTATTATCGCATGACTTAACGGCCCCACGGGTCCGTGTACATGTTTTTCGGGTTACGATAATAAATTATTTTTTATTACTATTATCAGTATGTCTCAACAGCACTTCGACAGCACTTCGACAGTGGCTTAGACAATTTTATATATGTTTATTATGAAAAAGTCAACAGCAGTTCAACGGTGGCTTAACAGCAGTTATCTAGAATCTATATTTTAATAATACGTATTCATGAAATTTTAGTAAACATACGTGTGCGCTATTTTAACACAACTACGTAGCGGTTAGATCATTTCGAATTTATTCTGTCATGCTATCATATGACTTAACGGTCCTACAGGTCCGCATAAATTCTTATCGCATAAATTTTGTGTCCCCGACGGCCTCCAGAGGCTGTCGGAGTATAGTTAACTAATATTTTTATATTTTTATGATAACGATAGCGATCACTCGATATTCAGGTTTATCAGTTCGAATGTGCGATAAAAATTTGACCGGCTTTAATGATCAATGGCCTGCATTAAATTTTATGCGGTGTCACTCCAGTGACACTCCCCTGCAGAATCATTTCTCACGGTCGATTTTTGATTAACAGTTAATAACTACGCGCTCTAGAACTTTTTCCTTACCTTATATAAGATCCTGCGATAAGAAAGGGACTTAAAAAGCTATAAGGGCAATGGGTATAACGTTCTTAATCAGTAGTTTGATCAAAATTCATATGTTGCAGGAACTTGGAATCTCCGCCATCTCTGAGATCGTCAGATCTAAACCTACCTTAAGCAATCGTCGATTATTAGGGGGTTAATTTCACCAGAAAAAATAACAAAATAGCTTCAGTATACGGAACTTATGACCGAGCGGAGTTGCTTTACTAAGTGGGATCCGGCATTGTGTTAGGTAAGGTAATTACTAATCGTGTAATTTCTCTTTTAGCAGGTTTTTCAGAATTGGCGAATTAAAGGTAGGGTGTACAAATTTCTAATTTCATATAAAATAGATTGTAGATCAACTTTGTGTAACCAATTTTATATGATATCATATGATTTACATGTAAACATCATATGATTTGACCAATCAGAATTAGCAATTTCTTGTGTAACCCCGGAAAAACATATAGCGACCCCGGAAACTTTGATCATATGTGAAGTTTATTTTTTTTAAAGCAATGTATATCCCAAAACTTCACTAGCAGAAACAAGCTGGTTTAAACTACATACCATTTAAATTTGATAAAAATTAACTAAGATTTTAAAAAGATTTATCAGAAGTATTTTTTTCTTTACTATGTAAAAATCCAATCTACCATGCAGATCATATGAAAAATGATCTACGTACACCCTACCCTTAAGCAAATATAAAGATAAGTGGGTTTGGCAAGTGGGCTAGTAATAAGTTGCCCATATTTTTTTTTTTCGAAAAAAAACTGTTTAACATACACGCAATTTATTCTCAAGTAATGTATTGTTTATTGATATGCTATAAGTCGAAGACTCTGCGCTTCAGAACATAATGCACTTTTTGCTTTTTCTTTTATGAGAATGACGTTTCACTAACTATGGGTTTTTCATAATAGGAAACACAGAAATGGCTAATAATATTGCTCTCAATTTTCGCATTAACGGTGGTGGAATTTTTGAACTTGATAATGTTAATCCAACAATAACTGTCAGAGCACTCAAAACTATGATTAGAAATGGGAACTATGTTACTTCTACTATTTTCGAACTTTATAGAAATGATTTTGCAAGAGAGGTAGAAGAAAATATGAAAGATGAAGCTACTGTTGGTGCATATTTCAACGGGATTCCTGATTCAAATAGAATTCACATTATTATAAGATGATGTATAATATATTTTTTTTATTTGTATTCGCACTATGTAAAACGATATTTTTTATTTGTATATTATCGTTCCGGCAATAATTTTTATAAATAAAGAAGGGGTCCGCCGGGCTCTTAATTTTTATTTTTACGCGATTTTTTATAGCAATTGACTATGATTTTTGGTTACTAATTAGAAGATTACTAGCTCTGTGTAGCAATTATGACATTTATTTAAAGTATCAAATCAGAGTTGCAACAATAATTCAAAAACTCATAAGCATCTGATTTGGATATTTACGGAAAAACAGGATGATATTCCAGGATCAATTTAAAACATAATTAAAAGCTTCTTAATAGGGATTTTAAACTTTATTGTATGTAAAAGGGAAGTAATATATAATCCTATAGAATCCATAAATCATATCATCCCACCCGAATTTAATAAATTGGACCATCAGGTGTTATAAATGTTGGAAGTAAGTTATTACAGTCTACTAGATTTGGAGGGGTGGTAGGGTTGTCTTTTTTGAGTAACAATTGATTAATCGAATGAATTCTCCTAACAACATTAGCTATTAATTTGTTTGCCATTAATATTCCTTTACACAATTTATTTACCATTTGTATTGTCCTTCGTTCGTTGCTGTTTATGAGTGGTATCTCTAATGACTTTACCAGGCACATTCGATTAAACGGTTTCATTTTACGATCTAAGATATATATATCCATTTTTGTTCCATAAAAATGTATCATCACATGGTTCAATTCATCCATCATCTCCTTTAATAATTGATCCGAGGCATCGATTCCCTGAGTTAAGAGATATACATTATTCCATGAGTCTTTCGAAAATTTTCCAAGTCGTAATTCATCTCCCCAATAATGGTCCCAATCAAGTGCATACGGTCCATTGCTTATTTCACAAAACATGAATTCCCATTTATAATTAGGTGATCTAAAACTCTTAGATACCATTAAGTCGGGAAGACGTGTTGGTCCGGACTGTCCTCCGTTCCGATTTTGGGTGGATTTAGATGGTCCTTGTTGTTTAATAAATCAACAGGAGAAAAAAATCAAAATTAAAGTTTTTAACAAAAATTTATAGATGAAAAAATGATAATTACCATTATATTCGATATTGACCCCTTTAATGTTATACAATAATAAATCACAAACAGACTTAACCACTTGATGCGAATATGAACTTTCGTTAATTTTAGAAGATTTTTGTATATACAAAGGTAGTTCCCAAGCACATTCCAGTTGGTTCAAAAACATTTCTAAGCAACTATAAAATTTTTTGGCGTCCTCTCGACTGTTAGGTGCGGTACAGTATCCATGGTTAATATAATTGCATATAAAATTTTCTTCCTCAATCGTCAAATTCGTTTTATATTGATTTCGTTCAGCTTTACTCCATAATAATTCCTCCAAACAGTCTTGCTCTACAATGAGATCAAACAATCGTTTATGGTACTTTTGTAAAAAAGTATGGTTAACAATGCCATTGGTAAGTAGATCTTGTGGACTTAATTTTTCATTTTGTATGTTATCGCAGATTATTCTCACAATTGTTGGCATGCGTGGATATATCGTTACAAGCTAGTAAAATAAAGATTAATTTTATTCAATATAACTTAACAAATATCATAATAAGCTTACATTTGAGATTTTACTTTTAATCTCATAGCTGTTAAATTCTACTAAAGAAAAATCTTCAGATTCCTCGCTTGTGGTATCTCCTATATCATCAATTGAAGCAATCGAATCCTTTTCCTCGCCAATATTATCATCAGCATTATCCTTCGAATTATAACTATCTTCATCGCTATTAATTACTTTTTCGTTCAAATTATTATCATGATCATCATAATTGTCGGAAAACCTCGCAATTATTTCATGAAATTCTTTTGGGATTTTCCACCAATCTTGAAGAATAGATTTATATTTATTCTAAAAAATATATATAGTGGATATCATTAATTAATATTGTAAACTGCTATTTTATAAATTTGTTCGAGTCTCCAATATCATGCACTCATAAGGTACAAGCCTATTCAAATCTTAAATGCATTCCTTTGGACCTTACTTGAAGCTTAGTCTTTCAGATTCTGACACGGATCATACTTGACGCGCAGTCTTTCAAATCCTACCCCATGAGATATGTCTTAATCTTACTTGACACGCAGTCTTTCAGATTCTGACATGGATCATACTTGACGCGCAGTCTTTCAAACCCTACCTCATGAGATATGTCTTTCTCGAACCTTACTTGACACATCGCATTTACTTTCTGCAGGCTTGCAAATTTTGCGTTCTAATCATATATATTTCCGACACTATTAAAACAAAAAAAAGATACGTACCATTACCCAGTCACGTTTTGCCTTGAGAAGTTGTTCTTTTTTAGGAAAGTCATTATTTATAGAATCTATAAGAACCTTTTTATAGTCCATATGCTCTACAGACTTATCATATGTAAATGTTTCTAACCGAATCTTGCTATAAAAGTAATTAAAAGGATTTGGATATTCAGTAGAAAATTTTTTAAAATATTCGATATTAGAAGACATTTTTTCTTAGTAGAAAATGGTCGTACATTCACCTTTTTATAGTTTCCATTACGTTAGCGTTAGCGTTAGTAACCCTAAATTTAGAATCCCAAAGTGGAAATGAGGATGCACTGTTTATTTCAGAAAAATGAACATCAGCACATGAAATGCAATCATATTAAATTAACGTTAACGCAAAAAATTAGAAATATGCTGTCACAAGACGATTGACCGAATTAACTACGATAACTATGATCCTAAATTATGCATAATAATCCCCGTAAGATGATACAGATACTGTAAATTACGTATGCATTAACGAATATCTTTATTACGTGCGAAGAAACTTTATCGTTATTATTTATGTCTGAAGAAGCGTGACATTGATGTACTGTATAGCAAGATTTTACAAATTCTGCTTACTATCTTTATCGTTATTACCTCGCTAATTCTAATTTATTTTTATTTATTGCGCTTGCAAAAAGATGTGACCTCTGCAGATCACGATGTCATGTGGGAATAGGAGATTCTATCGATTTTAAGAAATTTATCAATTTCAAAGAAAGATGAATATAACTGATCGAAAATATGAAATCAAAATCTCAGCAATTTGCCCCGATCATCATCACAAAAATCATGTGGCCACATCTTTTTGCAAAACGCTATAATTATTCGAGGACATAATAGATTTCTTAGAGAATTACATTCACATCGCTTATATATTCCATCCGCTACTTTTTACACGTTTTGCAATATAGGTGTGAATGATGATTGCATTCCTCACAAACCTTACACCCGTGGCTAAAAATTTTTATTATACGTATAAACCTATAATGTGTATTTGTGACCCGTTTATGCATAATGATAAGCCTTGTAAGGTATTATAGTTCAGATAAATTTATACGTAACTTATGCGAAATTTATTCTAACACGTTATCGCATTCACATCGCTTATATATCCCATCCGCCACCTTTTTGCATGTTTTGCAATATAGGTGTGAATGATGATCGCATTCGTCACAAACCTTACACCCATGTTTCCATCCTCTAAAGATATGCCACTTTTCGATGTAATTTTGTTTATCTTTACGTATGAGTATGTTATTCGGATATTTTTTCATTGTTATATTAATAGAAAAATAATTATACGTGGCTAAAAAATTTTTATTATATACATACATCCCGATACATATTTGCGTTTATGCCCTGTCCTACAAATAAATTATGCATAATGATAAGCCTCATAAGGAATTTCTAATTTATTCTGCACGTACATTCAAAATTTTTCTCGTCGATCTTGTTACCGTTATGTAACATTGTACAGTATGTAATTCATTTTTACCCGTTACTAAAATTTGATCTTCCTAATGAGGTAAATAAAATTCTTAGTGAATGAACGCATTTAAAAATCAAATCACAAATATATCTTTATTAATTTTGTAGATATATGAAAATGGGCTAGGGAGAGCTAAGTAAAAAACTTAAGAATAGCGGACGTTTAAAGGGAGGAATTTCTCGAGCCCTAACCCATAAAATGAGAGTTCCTTCCCGCTACTCCGTATTATTAGCTAAGTTAAATTTATTTTTGCTATCGATTCAAGCACCTATTTTATTTAAAGTACTACCTCTAAAATCACCATTATTATAATAAAAATTTTTTATAGTTTCCTTACCAATCTTTCCCATCCCAAGACTACGAATCTCAACAGACACCATATTACACATATCGTCTAAAGAATAATTATTTTCTATCATAATCTTATCAAAAAGAATTTTAAAGTGGTTTCTGGTTGTTGAGGTAATATCGGAAAAAGATAATTGACTTGAGCCACTAGAAGAACCCAGAGAAGAACCAGAAGATCTTCGAGAAAAATTGGACGTAGATACGGATGGGCCAGCAAATTGTTCAGATATTAATGGTGCCACAGAACCCGTCTCAGTTATTTGGTCCAACTGATCACGAAGGGATTCATAATTGGTGGTGATTTCATTAATAGTTTTGATCACGGTATTTACCATTGT